TGTCTCCCAATGTCTGACTATTTCATACACCAGACCTATCTCCTTCTCCCAATCCACGTGCACCTTTCCTTTTTTAAGCTTGCTAATAAGACCTGTTCCTAGTCCCCTGCCAAATTTGTTTAAATGTTTCCGAACAGTGCTAGCAAATATTTTAAGATGAGAGCAAATCTTAAAAGTGATAGCACCAGCTGATCAACCAGCATCTCTTGCATTCTACTGACCTTGATTCCATTAGCTACATTTTGTAAAAGCAGGGAAGAGCAGGAGCAGATTAGAGAATACATTTTGTGTTCATACATTAGTAGTTGTGCTCAAGAGACAAGTAGTAAAATGATGATTGTTGGAAATCTGATATAAAATTATTGATGTTCCATTAATTACCAATGAACAATTGGAAAGGGTTATTGCTTCAGATGGGGTTTATTAGTCAAGTTGTAGACCCCTTTGAAAGGATGGATCAAGGAAAACATGGTGTATTGTCTACAGGCTGTTTTACAGCCAGACTGTTTGCAAAATGAACCCAAGCACCATGAAAAGATCTCTGTAAGGTTGTAATAAAAGGGAACTTGGTTATGAGAAGCAAGTCCAAGAATGCAGTATCAAATGCTCAACATCTCTCCATGATCACTTTTTAATTTTTGAAGGGATGAATGAATTTGCTCATTTTCATGGTACAGCTAAAAGATTTGCTGTAGTTTTTTATGTGATACAAGGGAATAAACTGCACAATACATTTTCATTCCTTGATGAACAGTCCTACAGTAAATAAGATATTAAATGATGAGAGGGACTTAACAGATCTCACATTTTAATTAAATTGCTGTAAGGGCTAGAACAAGAGATTTTTCATTATCTGTTGGATGTTCTATTTTAGCAAATTGTTTGCTGGATACATATATTTAAAGCAGGAATGCCTCATGGAATTAGATATATATTATTAATATATTACAATAATTCCATAACAATGTAATCAATATGTTTTATTTAACAATGACGAAACTATACATGCAATATACAGAAACACATAAATACATTTCAGTAAATTTTCTAATGTCAATAATTTGTATTTAATATTTTTCAAGTTTAAATATACATTTGCTACTTTTGCCAGCTGTTTCATAAATTATACATCATTACATCAAAAGCACCAAAACGTTCTAGGAAAAGTTTGATGTAATTAATTCCATAATAATAGCAAATAATCCTGTCACCATATTGGAACAAGAGGGCATTACTGCTGACATCATCATTGTGCACCCACTTTTGTTGCCTCTTGCTCCTCACCCCATTCTCTGCTCCCCTTGCCGCCATGCTCTCTGCTGTACTGGCTGGCCTACTCACGCCTCGTTCTCCTGTTCACTGGCTGCTTTCCCCATCTCCATCCCGTTCTCGTCTCCCCTCGCTGCCCCTCTCACCGCTGGTTTGTCTGCTTCCATCAGGGAGTGGGGCGGCAACTGACACAGTGAGGATTTGACTGCTGGTGATGAGGTGGCAACAGTATTGACAAGAAGGGAATCAACTAGGAGGTAAATGGATTAATGATTGAGGTAGCAAGTGAAACAGTGAAGGGTCGGGAATAGGCCATTCATTGTCAGCCATCCAAGGTATGTCAAAAGGTCCATTTGAGGGCATTATTGGAAGTAGGCAATACCTTTTTTCCAAAGATTTAGATGATGATAGAGTGATGGAAGATATTAATAATGTTATTTGCGAGTCATTAAGACAGCTCTGAAAGATAAAGGTGACAGTGTAGGTATTGCAACCACTTGTACAGTGAGTACAGCCTTGCAGTTGTAGTGGCAGCAAATATAGACAATTTAATATTCCTCAATTTCATTGCAATCAAAATTTGACTGCCCAACTATTCCATTCTATCATCTCAAAATTGAGCAGCTCATGGCTTTCCTGAGTCCTCTCTTCCGTAATAATTTGTGTGACTTCACCCGACTTTACCTGACAAAGGGGCAGCGCTTCAAAAACTTGTGATTTGAAATAAACCTGTCGGACTTTAACTTGGTGTTGTGTGACTTTTGACCTTGTCCACTCCAGTCCAACACCGGCACCTGCACACCAATGGGATAAGGCCCTTAAGTGGAAATTAATCGCCCACTTGTGGACACCAGTTGGCCCAATGGCAGGTCGGCCAGCCTCTGTCCCACCACCACTGACAAAAATATGGTGTGGCCCCGAGGGTGGGGGGCACGGGGGCAAGTACACCGCAGGCAGACCAACTGCAAATTCTGTGTGCCTCATGCATTCAGAGTGGTGGGGAAGCATAACAAGCAGACTGCTGTGGTTTGGTGTCAAATCATGTGTTATTCATATACACCCGTACTTGACATAGACTTGTTGAAAAACCTATTCCACAATGATGCACCCTGATGCTTGACTTAAAACACTGTTGTCAAGGGCACACTGAACATTTAAAATTTAACAGATCAAAATCAATTGAGGGGGAGAGGGAAGAATTTCCAAGAGGATCCTGTTCATTGCCCCCAGCATCATGGGTGAATTATCAGCAGCAATCCTGAAATCAACGAAATAAATGATGGTTTAATATGTTTCTTTGGGTTTTCCAGCAACCTTCCCATGAGCTACGGTACATACAAATTCTACTCACAGGCACTTTATCATTCCTTTTAAACTAACCGAATTGGAATTATTTCTTTTTATTAAAACAATTCTGTGTTAATCTTAAAAGTGAATGAGATTGGCCTGAAAACATAATGATTTGGTAGATTATAAACTGTGGATTGTAAACTGACACATGATAGATGCACAGTCCATGTTATGAACATATATTGCTAATTAATATATTGTCATTTCATCTACAGTGAAATTCACTGAAACATTTTTAACTCAAATGGAAAGTCTACAGTGTTGTGACTCTGCTTATAACAATTCATACTTAGTTTTTGAGTTTGGTAGTGCAATGACTGTAGAATCAATTCTGTCATGTACACTGGGTTCAACTGATCTTCCTAAGGCTACAAAAACACTCATTAAAATTCACTTTTTCACTCCCCCAATTTCAAACTAGCTGTGTTTTAGATAAGATAAGTCCAGGACAGACAAGTGAATTGATTTAGATCTTTGACCATGACGCAAATTCGTGGTTTGTGAGTTATCTCTTGGGCCACCTTTGAGCTATCTGTTGACTGTGAAGCGTCTTCTGTTACAATGAATTTAACGCAATGCTCCCTTTGCTTCAGGAGCCTTGGATCTGTCTTTAGAAAACAACAATCCAGGCTTGAATATTGAGTATAAGCAAGCATTGTGGCATTTTGGTTAACTAACTTTAGAGCTCAGGAATTAAATGATGGAGCAGTTGCCATGAAGGGATGATTCATGAGATAATGAATAGCCTTTCTTGTTTCATACTCACGATTTTCATGCGGATTGAAAGGCAAAAGTCACAATGTTAAGTTATAAATTTGGAGTTAATTTGTGTGTGCTGGTAATATGAAGTAATTTATATGGGAAAATTATTGCTCTGTTCAACCCGTCTTTACCCTTTTGTTCTTTTGACTAAACACAAATCACAGCAAAAACTGTAAGTTGCCTGTTGTAGGAAGATTCCTAATAACATTTAGGTTAATGCATTCTGCCAATCAGGCAAAGGAGTGTAATGATGGTCTCAGAGGACCATCCTGTAGTCCTGGTTAATGATCAGTCTGTTGGGATGTGACAGAGGTATTGTCTAAGCCAGGGCTGAGAATATACAGATTTGAGAAAATGTTTTTGCACTGTCCTTAAAAATTTACTTTTGCGATCTGGACACTGCTGGTAAAGATGTCTTTATTGTCCCTTTCAGTTCTGAGAAGATAATTTTGGACCTTTGTCAAGATGGTTTGCAACTTTTTGAAAATATCTGGAATTGATGTTGTTTTCATGATATAGCAGGTCTTGTCCTTCTAGATGGAAGATTGTGTCCTTCAGGCTGTCAAGGGGTTCTTGGTTCCCAGTCATAACTAATCGATACAAATTGGGTTCAGTAGTCAGAATGGACAGGGCTTCTCTGCAGGAATACCAGTCCAAGATCAATGCAGATTCTACTCTGGGCAAAAAAATGAATGCTGTCCCAATGTGCTTCACAGTTTCTGAGAAACAATTTACTGTTCTAACATTTATGTAACATGGATTTCATTAAACTTATTGTTTTGTTTTGGGAATTTTCCCAGGCTGTAATTCTATTATATAATCTATATTCTATTGTCATATATTAAAGCACTCCTGTTTTCTCTCTTAATTTATCTTTGCCATAATGTTAGATTTTTTAAATCTTTGTATAGGAGTGCCTCGATGGTTCTCATAAATGCTACTCTTATACCCTGAATTTTGAATTGGATTACTGGATTTACACGCTCATTCAGACTCCACCCTCAAACGTGTGAATTTAGCACAGACCATTTCAGACCTTTCCCTCAGAATTGGATTCAAAGTCATCAAAGTGTTCTATTGGCTTTCTTCCCAAGTATGGCAAAGCTGAAAAATAGTAGTACCCTACTTAGCTACTCCTTGCCTACAGTCCATACCACTTGTGGCGATTTGCTTTACTCATACAACCAGTGTGCAGAGATTGGTTTGAGAAGTGTAGTTTAAAAGGAAAGATAATGAAAAATACTGCACCTCCCCAGAAATGCACACTGAGAGAATATTTTCTGTTAAGACCATTAAGGTAAAAAGCAGTGACAGAATATGGCTACAGCCACATGTTTATTGCCAATTAATTAAAGGTTTACTACCAATGCATCATCATCAGCGTCCAGCAAACAAAGCCTCTTTGATGAGATTGGTTCCTTTGCTCCACTTCATATAAAACTTCAATGCAGACCGGTTACAGTTCTGGAAGAATGAGAGCAACATTTTGGAAAGACTAATGTTCTTTTCATTTTAATCTGATCTTGGATTGAACAACAGGTTTCTTTGTCACAGTTCACTGCTGTTAGATGCTCTGCACGTACCTGGTGCTGATAATGTACGGTAACTGTCTTTCACAGGCTATGGCTTCGTCGATTTTGACAGCCCAGCAGCTGCACAGAAGGCAGTGGCATCTCTCAAAGCCAGTGGAGTACAGGCCCAGATGGCAAAGGTGAGCATTCTTGACAATGAAGCAGTTTTGTCTCTGCATTGCAGTGTTTCTTTACTGGAGTTGTTAATTAGAATTATGCTTGTTGGATTAAAGACGTTACCAGTTAATAATCGTGAACAAAACACACTGTGCACCTGTAGAAGCCATCTTTTCACTTGTTGGTGCGATGCATACAAATGCGTACTGACACATAATATATATAGACAAAATTAAACATGTTTTCGAGCAATTTACTGAGTCAAAACTGGCCCGAGCTTGTGGTGAATGTGTATGAAAAGGAGTTTATCTGAGAAAAAAATTCTACAACCATTTTACTGTTTTAAAAGGGCACTGTAACCTAGCAAAGCTATTAATAGAAACACTGCCCTAGTAAAACCATGCTGCAAGTTGGCGGACACTGTCATAACTTGCTCAGAAATGTGTTTTGTGTTGCTTGTGCATTGTGCAAATTTTGAAGCCAAGTTCTCTCATCAAAATGATAATTTGATTGGGATTTAAAATAGACTGAGCAGAACTAATGTAGAAACACTTCAGGAGGCTGGAAGTGCTGGTTTAGTACAGTTACGGAGGCAGGACGTGGCGTGTGGTAAGGGAGGAGAAGGAGCTAGGGTTGGATGAGAGAGGGGTGGGAGACAGGGCAACTTAGGTAGTGTTCCACAGGTCTGGCACAGAGAGTGGGGAAGGGAGAAGTGGACAAAAGCTTCAACTGGTTGAAATGCTAAAAGTTTTCAGTCATTGTGGCCTGAATTCATAAATTCATAACTTGAATCATTTCATCAAGATACCTGTTGGCTTCTGTATGCTGCATCATCAAATGAATATGGTACCGAGAAAGGGGAGCAGCCATGACCATGATGAATGATGCAGTAGGCTTGAAGGGCCAAATGGCCTACCTCTTGCTTCTAGTTTCTAAAAATCCAGAAGAACAGGAAGCACCGTAAAAGCTTCAAAGAACATCTACAGAATCAGCCTAGAGCGAAGGCTGATGGTAAAAATTTTCCCCTAATCACTGACTGGGGAGTGTAACATAGGCATAATAACAGAATCAGCTCTAATAGCAAGCAAGTGCTTTAATTATTTTAATAGCATGTTTTTTCAAAGAATGCATGTCATTTTACTGAGATGTACTTTAGAAGGATGAAGACTGTCAATGAAGGATAGGGTCAAGGAGCAGAAGAACAGGAGAGAAGATCAGATACGTGATGTTTGGTATGGGATGGTTCACAAAAGGTATAAGATAGGTTTTCCCATTTTGCGATCACTAGGATTGAGTCCGCACTAACCTTCCGAAGAGAATCACACCCACAGCCACCCTATCCCCATAACCCAACATGGAGTTTTTACAATGGCTAACCCGGGACAATTTATCATGGTCAATCCACCTAGCCTGCACATCTTTGGACTGTGGAAGGAAACTGGAGCACCTGGAGGAAACCCATGCAGACACTAGGAGAACAAGCAAACTCCGCACAGATAGTCACCCAAAGCATGAACCGAACCTAGGTCCCTGGCGCTAGTGCTAACCACTGAGCCAGTGTGCTGCCCCAAATTACAATACTGGCAATACTGATGAGCAATTAGTCATGAATAGCTAGATGTCCTAGGCAGGATTTAATCTAGGGGACTGCTACCTCTTTTGGGGCAGGCCCACCATATGAAACACCAGATGTATGGTCAGCAGGACCCCATGGATATAGATGAATCCCGCAATCAAGAGCTGTGTTCAATCAGTAGCTAACGGCCCCTTGTTGGCTTCAGTCCCACCAACAGAATAGTGATAGAACCCTCTCCAGAGGCCCCACGTCAGTGAGGCACTGGAGCCATAGGTGAGAATGGAGTTTGCAAGGAGGGCTTGCTGGCTAGGGATAGTGGGGGTTTGGGAGAAAGGGCAGGCAAGTGACCCACAGCAGACTGTTCTTGTCCCCCTGCCCACAGTCCCCCAGCCTGTTTGTAGACCTGCACCTCAGAGGGCAGCAATACCTTTTCCCACATGGGTGTGGGCTCAATAAACATTTGGAGATTGGTTTCCTTTGATAGGTATGAACAAAATAGCGGCGATTCCAACTTCCCACATTTATTCATACTTCAGAATGAAAGGTGATTATTTAAATTAGATTTTGAAAACAAATTGGAGATTTTCCCTTTCAAGAGTTAAAGATTTTCTTCCCATCAGTAATTGTTATTCATACAATATAATTTTTTTCAAATTTTCAAATATTAATCGTGTTAGCTTCAGGCCCCTCAATCTGTTCTGCAGTCTCTTCTTTTTCACGTTGATCATTGAGGTTTTCATCCCTTTGTTAAGAGGCTGCTTCCAGTGGACTCTTTTTCAAAACCTGTTTTACTCTTCATTGATGTCTCCTTTCCAATGCTTCCTACCCATGAATCACGCTTACATTTCCTACCAACTACTTACCATTTCCAGACTTGCACGTTCTGCTCCACGTTCAGCAGTGTGGGCCATGTCTCAAGGATCAAATATGCAGGAGAAGAAGTTCTGCAAATTTGCTTTGGTTGTTGTAGCAACCAGTAGATTCCAGCTGACCAGGATGGGTGATACGGTGGCTCAGCGGTTAGCCCTGCTGCCTCACAGCACTAAGGACCTGTGTTCAATTCCAGCCTTGGCTGACTGTCTGTGTGAAGTTTGCACATTCTTCTTGTGCCTGCGTGGGTTTCCTCTGGGTGCTCTGGTTTCCTCCCACAGCCCAATGGTATGCAGGTTAGGTGAACTGGCCACGCTAAATTGCCCCATAGTGACCAGGGATGAGCAGGCTAGGTGGGCTGGCCATGGGAAATATGGAGTTATAGGGATAGGGTGGGATGCTCTTCAGAGGGCCAGTGCAGTTTTGATGAGCCAAGCGGTCTCTACCTGCACTGTAGGGGTTCCAAGGTAGCACAACTCCTGCTGCAGCTATAAAAATATAAAAATTGATGTATGTACTGTGATTGGATTAATCAACTCCAACAGCTGGGAAGCTGGTATTTAATTCCTTTCTGTCTTCTGTAAGCTGCTAACGAATACAAAAAAGGCTTAGTGATAAAGTTTTATGCGTGTCTGAAGTTGTAACCTTGTCAATAAGACTTGTTAAGTTAGCTAACCTTCCATTTATGGGAATGTGCCTTTCCTTCTGAGGTTGTAATGGGTATTCAGACAGATTGGCAGAAAAGGCAAGAGCTATCTGCAGCCACTGCTGTCTGATAGTAATGATTCTGTTCTGCTGCACTCTGCAATTCTCACAAACCTGTCTAGGGCACCTAAGGTATTCATTATGGCAATGGCAATTCAGCAGACATCTGAGTGAGAGAGGTTGTCAAACATGATTGCTGCCTTAACTTCATTGAGATGCTCTTCAATTTCATGGGAATATGTTTCCCAGGACAGTAAGGCATTGCTGTTGTTAAGGAACCGTTCTGACATAATTCTATGGGCCAACTGGCCTTGAGCGATGATGGAAATGACTCCATTGGACCAAGAGAAGAACAGTAGGTTCTGTTTTCCTTCAATCATAGAATCTCTACAGTGTGGAAGCAGGCCATTCGGCCCATCAAGTCCACACTGACCCTCTGAAGAACATCTCATCTCCCACCCTATTCCTGTAACCCTGCATTTCCCATGGCTAACCCACCTAGCCTGCACATCTTTGGTCTGTGGGAGGAAAATTGGAGCACCTGGAGGAAACTCAGAGACATGGGGAGAATGTGCAAACTCCACACAGGCAGGCGCTTGAGAGTGGAATTGAACCTGGGTCCCTGGCGCTGTGAGGCAGCAGTGCTAGTCACTGAGCCACTGTGCCACCTGACAGATGCAGCTTTAGATGAACACAAATGTACCACACAAATATCATTGGAACAGGCTTCCTCCAATACTTATAGTTCACTCAGGGTGTCACTGTTTGAATGGGAAAGGGATCATAGGAGCAGGACTTATGTCATTAGCCCTTTGAATCTACTCCATCATTCAGTACGATCATGGCTGACTTGGTTGTGGTCTTAACTCTACTTTCCTGTCTATTCTCCATAACCATTGACTCCCTTGTCTATGAAAAATATATCTATCTCTTTGTTGAATAAATTCCATGATTCACCTCCGCTGCTTTCTGGGGAAGGGAATTCCATAGATGAATGAAGCTTCAAAAAAAAACTCCTCATCTCCATCTTAAAAGGGAATCCTTTTATTCTTAAACTATGTCCCCTACTTCTAACCTCCCTGACATGAAACTTCCTCCTGGTATCCACTCTTTCAGGTCTACTTGGGATCTGTATATTTCAAAAAGATCACAGTTCATTCTTCTAAACAGCTCCCGTGCGTATATCCCAAACCTGTTTAACATTTCCTTGTAAAATAAGCCCTTACTCCCAGGAATGGATTAAAAAAAACCTTTGTTGAATTGCTTCTCACACAATTATCATATTGCTTCAGATAAAGAGACCAAAACTGTACAAAGTACACCAGATGTGTTTCCCCTCCCCTCAGTGGCAGTGAAACTTCTCTATATTTCATTCCTCTTGCAATAAATACCAACTTTCCTTTGTCTTCCTAATCACTTGCTGGATCTGCACACTGACATTTTGTGATTCATGTACCAGAACACCCAGATTCCTGTGTAACCAAAGTCTGCAATCTCTCCTGTTTAAGTAGTTTACTGCTTTCCTGTTCTTCTTGCCAAAATATACAAGTTCACATCGTACTCCATCTGCCAAACATTTGGCCCTCACTTAACCTATTTCCCTTTGCAGCCTCTCTACCTCCTCTTGGCAACTTCTTTCCTTCCTTTATTTAGCTGTTGTACATGCAGTCCCTTCACCCAAGTCATTGTAAATAGTTGAGACCCCAGCTCTGATCCATTTGACAACAGCTTATCATTCGACAAAGAGCCACTTAAGACTACTCTCTGCTTTCTGTTGGCCGGCCAAACCTTTATCTTTTTAAAATGTTGCTCCCTGCATAATGTACTCTTACCTTGTATAATAACGTTTTATGTTATATCATACACCTTTTG